CCGAGTAAAAGGTGTTCTCAGGGTTCACCACAGCCTGCAGATCGCTAATCACAATATGCACACACGTATTGCTGGTGTCATTGTGTGATGAAGAATGAATGACCCGAGCCACGGTCCAACTCGGCACAACCAAACTAGCAATAACAAGGCCCCCTCCTGGCGCTTTGCAATCTGCCCAACCAAAAGCTCACCGCTCTTGGAGTAGGCCACTACGCTGGGCGTAGTTCGGGCTCCCTCTGCGTTGGGGATCACGGTGGGAGTCCCAGCCTCAATCAGACAGGAACACTGTTCCTTTTTAACAATTGTCTATCTTCCAATTTCCAATCTTGGAGAAGCCTTAGTTCAAAACCTCCATGGCAGCCACAGCGGAGTTGGTTGTGCCCAAGTCAATTCCAACAACCTTCTCACCTGGTGCAACTTCAGCACGTGCAGCGACCTCAACGCTAGCGATTCTTTGACAATCAGTCGGGTATGTTGAGATGTTTACACTCTCTGCAAGTCACAAGAAAGAGCGCCCGGCTTTGGATGGGCGATACTTTCTTCGCATGGAGGCAGCCACTGCCCCAGCAGCTGTTACAGCAGCTGCACCCACAGTGAAAGCGCTGCTGCCTGAATCTTTTTCTCTCAGCATGTCTTCATTCCTACTGTTCTCAGTGTTCTCAGTAGCAAGAGAGATGTCGAGTCACGTCACAAACCAAATCTCCAAGGCCCCCACTGTTGTCAGCAACAGGCGCCTGGTCTGTAAAAAGATGACCAAAATCAAACGAAAAGCAACAGGGAGCTACCATAGATGGACGATCGACGTTCAATCCCTTCAGGCGTTAGCAACCACCCGTCCACCATCCAAAAAGAATCTTGCCGCAAGGAGGTCTTGAGAAAAAAGGGGCAAGCAAAACAGGCAAACCAAACGGTCACGAATTGCAGGCTTTGCTGGAGCCCATTGATTTAGATGTTGTCATGATTGAGGGGTTCGTCCTCATGGGTCGATCTTCTGGCACTTGCAGTTGGGAAAGTGGAGACTGAACCAGTTGAGACTGGCCTTGTCACGAATGTGTCCACATGTGTTCCAGAACGCTACTACAGTACAGCTGAACACCTTCGGTTCCGATGCCTTGCCAGCTGCATTGATCTCTGCAGGAGCACGGCGAGCAACGGAACCGCCTCGGAACCATCCGCATTGCAAAAAAAATGCATGATGATGAACGAAAGACCATGCCTGGCGTTGCCACAAAAGCCAGCCTGTACCCACCCTCTTGTGCTGTCATGCTGTCCAATACTCAAAGAAAAGCCTTCTCAAGCTGAGGCTGATGCCCTCCCAAACCAGCGCATGCTGCAGCCGCACGAGCCTTCTTGGACACCATACTTGACCTTCAATGGTGCCATAACTTCACCAAAGAAGTGTTGACCCACTCCAATGGATCGGCGTCAGGCTTTCAAAACCGCCAAGAAAGGCCATCGGAACAAAAAAAGAAGGCCACCGGCCCACAAACAGCGCGCAAAAGAAGGTGTGTGCCGGCCGCCGGCCTGCTTTCGTTGCACGCTTCCAACAAAATTGCCCTCACGGTAGGTATCTAAACAACAATCAAGAGCCGAGCAGAGCAGAGCCGAAAGACAGCAAAATGGTGCTTTGACTCTCCGTCAAATGCTCGTGCCGTGCGCCCACTGTGGAGAATTGGCTCAATCATGCTCTAAATTTCTAGTTGGCCCACGACTGCAATCGTCAGCAAGGGGCATCACAGCCTTACTTACCTTCTCAAAAGGGCTACACATTTTCGTCTCAGGCACTCTCGGTGGTCTTTTCAGCCAAGCCCAGGAGTACTTTGCAGGCCGGCTGTGCGTATGGCAGTCTGTATCCGGGCGGGCCAGGCCCACTAGGCCAAACAAAAGAATAACAGCTAATCACTACTTATCATAATCTCTGTGCGTTAAACAAATAAACACCCGCAACTGCCATAATATGTGTGCGCAGAAGCGCATGCATAGCACATGCTGTACCTGAATAATTCAAAGGAGACCAATCTTTATGCAGCAGACGCCCGAGCGAAACTGCACATGGCCTGAAAATCGAGGGGAGGAGTTGTCGTCTGAGCAACTCATTGTCCGTCCACATCAATGACATCATCCTTGCCCTTGGCTTCAGCCTTGGCATCACCAGGAGGCGGAGATCCAGCATCAGCTGCATCACCTGCAGGAGGGCTGGCTCCGGTGTTGGCATAGGCTGCTTGGCCGACCTTCATGAGCTCCTCTTGAAGGTCTTTGGTCATTGTCTTGAGCAA